TGGTAAATTGTATGTACTTTATCACAGTAAAAAAAAAATGTTGGCCTCCCCGGTGGCGCAGCAGGTTGAGCACAACGCTGTGAAGCTGTCCTCAGCCTCTACAGTGAGGGTTCAATTCCTGGCCGGCTCAGGAGATACCCACATGGCACCACAGACCTCTTCTGTGGCACCCGCTGCTCCCCTTAGTGGTGTTTTCGATCTGTCTGACTGTTCTGCTCCTCACTATGTCTCTGGTGAATTCTCTCACCCTCCCGCAACTCTGGCCTGTATCCCGTTCTTGTATAAATAAATAAATCTTTAAAAATATATATTGGTGGCTCTCATAAAAGCTTTTTTTGTTTAGTATTCTGAGTTTTTTAGTTTTCAGAATTGTAGATAAGGGATCCTGGCTATAGGTAAGGTATGGTTTATATCATAATGTGTTGTTAGTGAAAACTTATTTGCAGACTTATCAGTCAACAAAAATCCAGTAACTCTCAAAAAAATGTAAAACTCATTGGTGTAAAAAAAAAAACCAAAAACCCGCTATTATTCTGTTGACTAAGGAATGGTTCTTCTGACTTAATGAAGTTTTTTTTTTTTTTTTTTTTTGACTAAGACTTGGGGATAAGCCAGGGAGCTCTGAGAATCAACTGGAGTCTACATATTCTTGTTGATGTAATCTTGACCCATCTCTAAGCTGGGTCATCCTCAATCTAAAGTATGGTTAACTGGTTTCACAGGAAGTCAAATGTCTTAATTCCCTCAAGCTCAACTATAAGGATGTAAAGGAACTGATTAATACTGTCTCTCTCTAATAAAGCTATACTATTTTTCCCTGAATTTCGTGTTCAACTTAGTACATCTAAAAATTGTTCTTCCTTTCAATGTTTAATAATAATTATTAGAAGATACATACATTTACAAATCTTATAAAGATTTGTGTAAAACAATGTGGAAATTGCCAGGTTCATTTTGTAGATCTTCTGGCAATCTAAAGGAGAGACAACAAAAACCTTTGTAGGTCGCATACTAAGTAAGTGTGATCTCTATAAATAAAATTTGGATTCCCAAATTCTATTAAGTAGCAGTTTCTGAATTTTAACTAATATATTAATTTAAGGAACACAGAATATCAGTACTGTGTCATGGGAACTGAGAAATGGTCATGATTAATTATTTTTTTAAGATTTATTTATGCATACAAGAACTAGGGTACAGGCCAGAGGTGCTGGTGGTGAAAGGAGTCACCAGAGACAGAGTAGGGAACAGAACAGGCAGACTGACTGAAATACACCTCTGAGGGGAGCAGCAGGAGAGTCAGGAGAGGTCTGCTGCGCCATGTGGATCACCTCCCTGGCCGGGGATCAAACTTGTTCTGCAGTGGCTGTGGACAGCTTCATAGTGTTGCATCTTAACCCCTTGTACCAAGAGGGAGGCCCCATGATTAATTCTCTTGATAAATTTGTTTAGAAAGCTATTTGACTGAGTAAAATGAGAAATCACTATATTTTCAAGGAAATTAATCCTAAAGTTATTGCTATACAATGGGAAAGAGTCATTAAAATCAAGAAATTCCTGCAAGAATAAAACCAGCCATACAAATACCTTCATGTCCAAATTAAGAGCAAAGAAGTTGTAACATGGCTTAGCTTCGCCTTTCAAATGTGCCTTGTTTCCATTTTTAAGTAAAATGCCAGAACATCAAGGAAAAGACAAGACTTCTTTCAAGGGTGAGACCAAGTACACTCAAACATCTGTCCACTCTGCCTTCTTCCTCCTGTTTCATCCTTTCCCACACTCTTTCTTACTTTCTTTATCCCACTCTCTCTGAAAGTTCTCAGAGGAGGAAGGGGATGGTACAGGGAAGCTGAACCAGAAAACTGTTCAATTCAATGCTTTAATGCTCTCCTGAAATCCAAGTATTTTAATTCCTATCCCTGTCCAACCGCACCTCTACCTTCAAGTCCCCTAGAGGGCGCTCCTGTCACATGATGGCCGCAGCAGCTGGCTTCAGAGACCACCACCCAGGACCCAGTCTGAGAATCTCTGTTCTATGTCAGCAGCTTTTCAACTCAGTAACCTCCTTCCCTGTGTCAGTGAGATGATGGGGCTGACAGAGGGCAAAAGAACATCTGAGTGTGATCTGGGATCAGAGGAGGTCTCCTTAGCAAGGCCCTGCAAACCACCTGAGTTGGGACTAATACTTCAATACTTCAACCAGACTTTCATTCTTTTCATGATAGACATATTTCCTGCTTTTCCAATGAGGGCTGGAATAAAGGTTGGCATTTCTTTGGAAGTTTGAGAGTATATAGTGGATTTCTGCAACAATGTTGCCAAAAGTAAGATAAAAAATTTAATTTCAAAAGTTAGAATTTTAAGTGGCCTAGGGGTTAAGTCTTAGTGCTACCACTGCTATGGCCCTCCGAGTTCAATCCCGGCCAGGGAGCTGACCCACATGGCACAGCAGACTCTCCTGTTTTGCTCACTGTGCCCTTTATATCTGCCTGTTCTGCCCCCAACTCTGTCACTGGTGAATCCTCTCACACCCTGCACTGCTGGTCTACACCTCAGTTCTTCTACGCAAAAATAAATAAAATCTTTTAAAAATGAAAAAGAAGTTTCATGAGCAAATATAGATAGCATATTGAAGCCATAATTTCACAAATACTATCATGTAGGATAAGAAGTTTAAAAAAGAGAAAGATGCATCAACATCAACCTAAAGTGAAATATTAAGTAATTAAGAATATTGGTAATGACCAACAACTGCACACATTGAGGTGACAAGAAAATGACTGCCATTTGAGGAGCAACACTCCTTTTCTCAAGGTTCCCTTGGATTCAAACTGCAGTTGTTCCCCCTGAAACACAGGCTTCAGTCCCATTGCTCATCCACCTAAACGTGCCTGACGAACTGGAGAAGAGGTACTATAGGCCACACCCATGGGGCACAGAATTGCTTTAGAGTCCTCTGTCCACTCTGAACAATGCTCTGATCTTGGAAAGCGTGTGTGTCATCTTTCGAGATTGCCACAAAATGACCATCTTTCATTGACTCTGGAGATTCAGGTTGGCTGGGTGTAATCAAAACTCATCCCTACTAACTGGCTCCTGTCCTCTCCTTTGAGAGCCTGAAGTCAGGGACTCAGAACCAAGTAGAAAAGTACAGCACGGGAATTATGGCTTCTGCCCTGACCCCTATGTTTTAAAGTTTATAGCTTAATTGTGTGATACAATTTGGGAGTGGTTTAGATTAAGTGACAGCAAAAAGGGAATTATTATTTCTGATTCTTGCTCCCCAACCCCTAGCAATATATGTTTAATAATCCTATCCAGTAAGTCCACTCATCAGTTATAACCATATTTTTGCTCTCATTTTATTTTGGAAGAGGCCTCAAGAATTTGTATCATGCTTCAAGGTGAAACATTTTGGGTTGCTTTACTAACATTGCTCTATGGTTGCTAGCTTGCTTCTATCTGCCTGAAATATTTGTCTGGATAAAGTTATGTTGGCCTATGCTTTGTGGCAGAGAACTTAAGGGGCTGTCTCTTTGTTGATGCACTGAAATGGACACAAATCCCACAACTTCCTAAGTCTACTCTTGTACATAGTATCCAGAAACATAGCTACACCAGGATCCTGAGGTTCCATAAGAAAATAACAATCCAATCTTTACATTAACTAACTATAAATGTACATTTTTTTATTTAGCACATATTTAAGAGGCTGGACTCTGCTTATGCTTAGAAAGCACAATACCCACTTTACTTCCTTGTTGCTCAATTTTGAAGGAAGGTTTAGTTGAAAATAACACTATTAAAAGAGGATGGCCCAAAAATTGGTAATTCATTAATTCTTCTCTCCACCCCCTAGAAGCTGCTCCAGGTCAGGAGGAAGCTTCAAGTATGGCTGCGGGATTCAGCATAGGGAAGAACCTCTTCAGCCACACTGCCATTAGCCCACATCATGGGGCTTTGCAAAAGAAATCCAAGGAATAAGTCCTCAGATCTTTTGAGGACTTTGGGCCTCCCTCATGACACAGGGTCATCTCTCACCTCAGCACAAGGAGTGATACTCCTTAACTTGAACACTGGGTAAACCACCATCTTAGAGATGTTATGACTCATGGTGCTGAGCTCCTTTCTTGGTGCAGACTGTGGGATTCAGTCAGATCTGGGGCCCACCTGGAACAAATGGAGAGCCCGCCTCACCTGTGCTCAGTGTACTACCGTAGCTTTATCTTTCCTATTTATGTTTTCCACTTTAATCTCTCAATTCCCCTTTTTTTAAATCTAAAAAAGATAATAAGCCTATAATGAGGGTTTTTGAAGATATATATAAATTACACTCTGGCACACATATGCTGTAGTAATAATAGCTGGCATTTATTGAGTGCTGACTATGCACCATGACAGATTATAAGCACCATACAGGTGTGTTTAATAATCATTCAACTCTATAAAGTTGGTGGTAGTATTATCCCCATTAAAGATGAGGAAACAGAGGTCAAGAGATGTTAAGAAATTTGACCAAGGTCTCAAATCAATCTTAGGTAAAATTGGATTTGAACCCATGTCTCCTAACTCTATGTCCCTGCTCTAAACCCCTACTATTATGAAACCTATTAGAGTTATTTTAAAAATATAGTGTCTTTGGCTTGTTTTTTTTTTCTCTCTCTCTCCCCAAAGTTGAGAACAGACACATTTCAGGTGATTGCTTTGTCCACAACTTCTCAGCATCATAATGGAAGCTTCCATCTCCTGGGAAACAAATGGTAGCTTTACCATTATGTTGTTTATTTTTGCAGTGAGACCATTGGTAGTACATAGAGAAACCTTTGTCCAAAAAGGGATATTCATTTATAATTAATATACTGCTGATCTTATATTCAATATATTCACATAAGTGGCCTTAAATCCTCTGTGGAGCAAGATGGGGGTACAAAGAAACAATATAAATACAGAACTTCACATTGCCTCTAACACAGACTTTATGATAAGTATTAACATATTACCTTTATATCCTTGTTCTGTCTCCCTGAGGTCAATTTTTGTTATTGGTTTGAAATCAGTATCCCATAATCTTATGCACCCATCTCGTCCACCAGTAGCAAAGCCTTCTTCACAAGCATACATGCTGAAGATTCCAGCCTGTTGGTTAAGTTAGATAATGCTCAAGGCTGCATTCTAAATAGTTATGATAGTTGAATCTTGATTAAGAAAACAAAACAAAGTTAAACAAAATAAAAACAAACCCCTTATTCTCTATTTCACATCCTCACTATAGACCAAGCAGTCATTTTATAATATCCTTCATCATAGCTAGATTAAAAACTAACCACAATAACCACCAAAGCAAACTAGTTTAAGTGCTCCTTTGCCATTACTCAACTGATGGAAAGTTGTAAAAAGAAAATTGCTCAGGTATATACAGGTCAAAGCATACAAAGATCATAAATTCCATTATGTGACAAAATCTTACAAAGAAAAGTAAGATGATTAGGGTGCTTCATATAAATTGCTGCCCAAAATATTCAAGTAAAGATATGTGGGCTAAGAACACAAACATATTGACAGGTATGAAGGTATCTGAGATGCACCTCAGTGAGCTCCATAAGACCCCACCTGAGTCTAACTGAAAGTACAACTCACATTTGTCTTAACTTGCTAAGCATCATTTGAAGGCACTTTTACATATCTGAAAATGTTTCATAATTTAAAGATGCTTTTCCACAGGAAAACACTTTAAATGATCTGTTCAAAAGCTTTGCTAGAGTATAATGTTGACTTAAGATTCAGTATAAAGAGCATCTAAGTTATTCAGGCAACTGCTTATATGAAGAACAAATACTGACTTCCTAATTGTTTTTAGAGATGTTTCATAATTAGCAAAGCCAAGAAAATTGGTCTTCAACATAAGATAATGAAATCTAAAATGGCATAGCTCTTTTGCTAAGAGTTGCTTAAACATTTCTTTACATTATAAGTAATAGGAAATCAGTTTAGTAGCAATAAACTAAAGATCTTTCAAGTTTCCAGTAAACATTTTACCAAATTGCATTTACTACCATAGGCTTTATCTTTCACATCATCTTCCCCATTCATCTGGGCACTTTCACCTTATCTGTGGATGTAGCAATGTCACTATTGTAATACATGAGTGAGCAGAGTAGTCAGAAGTAAAGTTTGTCCTTGCTTTTTTTTTTTTTTTTTTTTACAGGGCAGACCATCAAAACAGAGAAATTTAATAGTGGTATCTATTTACATCTTAACAGCTTGTGATGCAAACGAGGAGGTGATGTGACTCTACTCATTCAGAGGAAAATCTACCTTACTAACCACTGAAAAAATAATGGTTGTTTACAGTCTTATTATGGGCCATAGGCCACCAGTGATGGCATCATCTGAGACCCAGAGTCAGAATTCAAATCTTAAAAAGACCTCCAGAAGATTCAAAGGCACATTAAAATTTGAGAAGAGTTGGCCTGAAACTAGTCTGTCAAGCTATTTTTTGACGAATAATGACACTAATCAGCCAATCACTAATAAAGATAAAAGCTAATTAAATTGTTACACAGTTGAAATATTTATTTTAGGTAAACAAAAATAGTTTGGTTCTAAAGCAACAGGAAAAAAATACAGAGATTTGTACTCTTAGTTTATTAAATAGTTCATTTCCAAATTTCTATGTGGAAATACTTACACTGTGTGCTCCTTGAATGGTGCGTACTAAGTTGAGCCCTTTCCAGACATAGATGTCGCCATTTAAAGCACCAGAGTAGGTGATGTCTTCTTTGGCACATGCAAGGCAAAGAATGGTCTGAAGATCCCCCGTTTTGCCAAAAATCCCTCTTTTTGCAGTCAGGGCATTTCCACATAGCGTCCAAAACTAGAAAGTAGGTGGTAAAATAAATCCCCAAATAGAATAGTCTGGTGCATCACATTGCTATTTACTTATGTTTTGGTACATTTTACATAATTTGCAATAGCTAAACTAGGCACACATAATTTAACTTGTTTTGCTGCAACAACAGAGAATCACAAAACATTTTAGTCAACTACTAGATTGGGACAAAATTTTAATGATATTTTTTAACTTTCAAAATTCCAAAATTGAACAACCCAAATGCCCAAAAATAGATGACTGGATCAAGAAGATGTGGCATATATTCATTCACATGTTGTAATGCAAATTGGCTGGAACTGGCAGGTACCAGTAAGAATGGCACATATCAAAAAAACAAGCAACAACAAATGTTGGTGAGGATGTGGTGTAAAAGGAACTCTCCTACATTGCTGGTGGGAGGGAAAACTGGTCCAGCCACTATGGAAAGCTGTCTGGAGGTTCCTCAGTCTACTAAAAATGGAGCTACCATATCACCCGGCAATTCCACTACTAGGGATCTACCCAAAGGACACAAAAATATTGATTCAAAAGAACACCGGTACACCTATGTTTACTACAGCACTATTTACAATAGGTAACCCCCTGGAAATAACCCAAATGCCCAAAAATAGATGACTGGATCAAGAAGATGTGGGCATATATTCATTCACATGTTGTAATGCAAATTTGGCTAGAACTGGCAGGTACCAAGGGGTTCATTTGGCCCACGGTAATCCCCCAGGTCCTTCTGTCTCTGATTAGAGACTGGAGGAGGATTAACAACATCTACAAATCTGGTAGGCTCATTTGCTGTAAAACCAGCCAAGCAGACAATGTTCAACTGTTATTTTTTTTCAAGCTTTCATTTCATTTCAGATAATTGTAATCTGTCTGCTTGCTAAATGCAGGATTTGCAAAAACTAGCAAGGATTTCAACCTAGCTATAAAAATTTTCCATGAAAATGTGCTCTGGAGTGCATCAAAGATGTTTGCACTCAACTTGTTGCACTCAACTGCAATCATTCATCTAATATTAGCAGGTGTAGGGGAAAAGGTGGGGATCCTGGAATTGGATACAGAAAATAAAGATAGTGAAGATAACTTCTTGAAATCTACTGAAATATGCCCTGAATTTCTTACTAAACAAACATTAAAGAATGGCTGGGTGGGCATTTGCTGATCCTTCATCTGAGGTAAAAATGCTTGGTTATGCTTAGAAAAAAATGCCTAAGTCTGCTAAAACAAATTTAACAGCAGAAGCAACTCTCAAAATCTACAAATGAAGTTCCAAGGTTTTATGTTTCCGCTTTTAGAATTAACTGAATGAAGTTAGAGTTAACTAAAGGTGGGAAGAAATAGGGAAGAATCTGGTATAGTCTATTAATTAAGCAGCTAAATCTATTATTTTAAATAATGTGTGGGTTTTGTTTTTTGGAAAATGGTAAGCCAGAATAGATCATTTAAGAGGTAGCTTAAAAGTGTAAAGAAGACTACACAGAAAGCCAGAAATGAGCTTAAATCTTATCTGTGCCATCATTTTTGTGATCCCAGGAAATGTGAAAAGAAATTAATATCATCATGTCCCTCTTTTAATAAATTCAAGAGATAGTGACCCGACCCCCCCAACCCCAACCCCACTCTGCCCACCTTATTTTTTTGGGGGAAGAAATTCATTTTCAGGGAGATTAAATCATTTTCCCAGAATCAAGTAGAAGGAAATGGAACCAGATTCAAAGTCAAATCATCTCCTAGGTCTTGATTTCCTCACTCGAGAATACCCAGTTTGGATAGTGGCTTCTGGGTCTGGGTCCCAGACTTTCAGAGAGCAGCCATAACTTAGTGGAAATAGGTTCATCTTGAGATCACCCATTTCTTTGCTTATGGCTGAACAAACAAGTCGGTGGTGCCTTTGCTTTATATCAAACTGACCAGAAACCCATGTTGGCATATACTTATTTTTGATTAATAAAAAATTTTGAAGAAATTTATTGTTTAATGGCTACAGTGTATTTTGTGGTCAAAATCTTTCAAAATACTGGTTCTCTTGGAAAGAAAATTTAGACATTCTTTTGTGATGAAAATATTGATAATCTGAAGATACTCTTGGCCAAGGAGATTTCTGCTTCCCAGTTCTATGATTCCATGGGCGACCAACAACCCCTATTAACTCCTGGCTGAAATGTAACCTCTCCTCTGGGTTCTGTTGTCTTCCAAGTCATGGCTACCAAATTCATCTATCCACTAAGTCCCACCTTACTTAGCATCCCCTTCCTGACACACATTATTCTCTACGTAGTAGGAATCTCTCATAAGAGAATTTCTAGTATCTCCCCTAGATAATTTCAGTTTTGCCTCTCTTATGCAATGTTGTTTTAATCGCTAAACTTCAAGCAAATTGAAAATAAGGCCAGATTTCATTCAGTCATGTGGTACAAAAAACAATAAATGTTTATTAAATTTAATAAGTTTTTGAGTCTTTCAAGGGGATTGTATAAAGCATGAGAAAGAACCCTCCAACTGCGGCTGAAGCAAAAAGTGCTAAAGCAAAAAGCACTATAGTAAACATTCTCAGCTTAAAATTCTCAGGTCTTTGAACAAGGATTGCAAAATGTTTATGATGGACATCTTAAACATTTGAATAGTGTGACCTATAGATTTATAGTTTTGTCCCATGTTTTTTCATTATTCTTTTTCTTATTTTGGAAGTAACAAGTGTTATCGTAAAATAATTTAAAACTTAAGTAAATCATCAACTCACTACCCAGAGACAGCTAACATTTTGGGATATCCTTCCAAACCATTTTCTGCATAAATATCAAATCCACAAATTTACTCCACCTAAAAGTGGCTATAAAAAGACTGGAATGTTTCCCAGTAACATTAAATCAACATCTAAAAAAGACTTACCATGATTGTACGGTATTTCTTCATATGGATAAATCATATTTTTTTAGCCATGGGCGAGGGAGGGGAGTTGTTAGGAGGTTTCAGGCTTCCGTTTCCTTGGTTGTATTTGCTATTGATAAGTTATTCAGCAAATAATCAGCATTTGGTTCACATACCTAACAATTTCCTTAGGTATGGACATTTCTAAGGCTATTGATAGATACTGCCAAAATTATAGACTGAAAAACCATACTCATTTACCTCTTCACCAGCACAGTGTGAGAGTATTCATTCACTAAATCCTTGCTAACACTGGGTACATTTTATTCATAATTTTGATAGACCTAAAGCATTATTAAGTTTTTTATTAATTATTAATGAAATTTAGCATTTCCTATGTCCATTAGTCAACTATGTTCCTATTTTTGTCAGTTGTCTATGTTCTTTGTCCATTCTGCAGATCTGCTAAAAGTCTTTATATTTCAAGAACCCAACACTCTATCTATGCTTGTTACTTATACTTTGCTAGTGTGTGATTTTCCTATCTTGTTTCTTAGGGTCTGGGGAAAAACAGAATGTTTTAATATGTATATAGTTGAATCTACAAACTTATCCTTTATGATTTCTTTCTTTCCTTTTGAATTAGTATTTAGGTTAGCATTTCATTAACTGAATTTTCCTTTTGAGCTGCCTACTGAGCTTATAACTTGATTGTCCTTAATTTGCATTTCTGAAAGAAAGCCCCATCAGCTGATTTTAGCTTGCTTCAAGATCAGAGGAGGTAAGAAGGCTCTAAATTTAAGAGGAAAAGTGTCAAGTCAAGTGGTTTTGCAACACCAGGTTATATATATTTAACACCTAAAAGTCTCTTCATACAAGATACAAAATAATTTTAGACTATCTACTTTACCTTTATGTGTTTTACTCCACAGCTAACCACTCTATTTGGCTGATATGGATCCCAGGAAATATCAAAAATCTGTTTAAAAAAAAATTAAAAGACACTATGCAGGTTATTTGTAATTTTTTTGTCTTCTTTCAGATACCACTCCAATTGTCCAGATTCTGTCTTAATGCTTAGACTACACCATTACCAGCACAGGCTGAAAATGGAGAGGGTTTGGCTCTGAGGATAATTCAGGGACATTCTATTGCCTCACGTCTACTTACCTTTGGCCTAAATAGAGAGGTAACTAATCACAATCATTGAGAACAAGCTGGGTATATTTTTAATTTCATCCATATGGGATAAACAAATTCAGATGATTTAGAATAACTTTTAAATCAAATTTGCTATAGCTTTCCACAATGCTAATAAACATTTTGGAGAGAATTTTTCAATAAAAATAAAAAGAATTATAAAATGCTTCATTTTAAGTTGAAAAAAGGTTTAACAGTCATCCAAATACAATGTGCCCAACAGTTTCTAATAATCACAGACATCAATATTGCTGAGTATAAGAAGAATTTCTCTGGCACTAACTTAGCCTACCTAAAGGGCCCTTTAGGTCACTATTTTAATCTGCCACAAAATACTATTAGGTTGTTGGAAAAGTCTTGACGTATTTTTTCTATGCAAAAATGAGTCATGACTTTTCGGGCAACCCAATATTATATTTTCACTTCTCCAAGGAACTGAAAATACATCCACTAATTTTATTTAGTATTCTTTTAAAAAGTTACCAGATAGTTTGCAGGTAGTTCTATTTCAATTTTGGAAACAGTGGAGAGAAGACTGTAAACCTTGAAGATCAAATCATCCATGGCAATTGTTTCAAGTATATATTCCCAGGGCCCACCTGTGTGATTTTGATTCTGTGGGTCTACAACTAGGGTCGGGCACCTGAATTTTCAAAGCGACCCCAGGAGATTCTGATACAGGTGGTCAATGGACAATATTCTGTGAACCTCTAATCGGGAAAAAAAAAATTGTCATGACCAGAGTCTAACCAAAGGAAACGTTTAGGAAGCTAACTTCTCATCCCATAGAAAGGAGCAATGTGGACCAATCATCAGAGAAAGGGGAAGGTTTGATAACATTCTACTTGAGAGAAAGGAGCAATTGTGGACAACAGAAGAGCTCTTGGACCAAGTACCCATAAGTTTCAGCATTTCTAACCTTAACCTCATCTTCTCTAAAAATGAGTGACATCATCTCAGTTCTGTTATGACATCAATGTAGACAATGCATCTAATAAGATATAAAGCATTCATTATACAAACGAATACAAGGGATTAAGTACTCTAGCCACTAAAACAATATTGAAGATAATAATTTGTCCATAAACTCAAGAATAATTCACACTGGCATCATTAAGAAAGAGTAAAACTATATGTGATAACAATATGCTGGGAGAACAGTATATAAAAGTATTAATTATGCAAGACACTGGAGAAATAGCTTTCCAACTGGCTGATGCACATGCCTATGTTATATGCTGTCTTGCCTGCTATGACTACGTGGAATTATCATTTCTAATGACACTGACATCAATACGAATTTAAGTAGATAATGATTTACATTCAAATTCTCAAATATAACAAAAAAAAATCACAAAGTTGTCATGACATTTGAAATTTAAATATATACTTACAAACATGTTTTATGAATATTTTCTAGCAACTATTTCCATTTCTAAAGAAATATCTAAATTTTACAATAGAATTTCAAATTCAATCCCATTTTGATTTTATGATGCAAAAAGCCTGTATGAAAAATTTCCTTTGCCTGTGCAAAGGAAAAATAATTTAAATAAATCATTTGATCACCAGAAGAGATAGTGTCAATATAGTTGCTAATCATTAATTAATTTTTAAAAACAGTAAATTTTTAGGAAAAATCTAGATGTGACATATTTACTTTTAACATATTACAATTTGAGAAGCTACATCATGATCTCTTCTCTCTCTCATACCCCCACTCATGAAATCTATTTGATCCAACAAATTCTTACCCGGTCTGAGTGGCCAGTGGCTGAGGCCAAAAGTTTTCCCTTCCTCCAATCCCAAATGCAGACTGTGTTTTTGGCATCCAATCCCACAGAAGCTAAACGCTTTAAAAAAAAATAATAATAATTTAACACCTGAAAATTATGGCAAGATTCCCTGCCATGCATGCCTTCTTTCAACAAATGGTTACTGTTTATCTACCTACTATGAACCAGGCATTTAAACTGCTTATGAAGGAAAAAAAATTTACCTTAAAATAAAGTTATCATAGTATATAACTTCCACAGCACATACCATGATTTCAAAAATTGAATAGCTGCAACTCATTTATCCTTCTTAAACACTGGAAACATAAGTACAAAATCTTGTGAGGTCTCTGACTAGTCAGTGGAAATCATAGAAGAACTTGAAGGCAGGGTAAAATCCTAATTGAGATTTAATAGGATTCTATTAACCTAAAACCCAACCAAACTGCAAAAATGAAGAGTTTGACATATAGAGAAGAAATTCTATAACTGAACATTATCTTCATTCCTTCTAAATTTTCATAATTTCACAAGCAGGTAGAGTGACTAAAGGAGATGCAATTTTAGTCAAATATCTACTGCTTTATCTGCCAGCACATATTCTTTGAGTTCTGATCAAAACTTGTCTTAAAAGGGAAAAGAAAATACCGCATGAGTGGGATACAAAATCAAAAGTGCCAAAAGAATGCCCAGGTCAGAGCCCTTGGCAGTCGCCACACCTAGGGATAGCACAATGTGACAGAGGTCTGCAGTACAGGAAGCTGGCTTCTCTTTTGACTTTGAGTAACCTGACATAAGACACTGAAAAATTAACCTCCTCAAATCTCAATTTTCTCATTTGTAAAGTGAGTTGAAACTATTTGATTTGCCTACATAGTAGGATTCTTTACTGGACCAGTAAAATAATGTAAATTAAAGAGTTATAAAAACACAGTACTACCCAAGGATGAGCATATCAGAGTCTGTGTACTTCATGGAGCATGTGTGGGCATATGTGTGCATGGAATGACATACTGCTACATGTGCTAAGTGTATTCATGTGCTGTTATTCAAGTTTTTCACTAAAAATGGCTTCCTTTGGGAATATTTAGTATAAAAAATAGGTAGTTGGCAGTTTTAAAATGTATCCTTCAGAAGGGGGTGGTCTTTGTTGGAATTTTTTTAAAGATTTATTTATGCATACAAGAACTGGGGTACAGGCCAGAAGTTTTGGGGGGGAGTGAGATGATTCACCAGAGACAGTGGGGAGCAGAACAGGCAGATCTACTGAAATACACCACTGAGGGGAGCAGCGGGTGAGTCAGGAGGAGTCTGCTGCACCATGTGGGTTGCTCCCTGGCCAGAGATCAAACTCATGCTGCAGTGGCTGTGGATAGCTTCATAGGTTGCGTCTTAACCCCTTATACCACCAGGCCCTTTGTTGGAATTTTTAATTGAGAGTTCAGGCAAATGATTATAAGACATGATGTTTTTATTCATATATGAAAATTCAAAGTGGGTGAATTCTATTCAGATTATTCTTTTTTTTTTATTTTAATAGAAGAGGCAGGTAACATAAATATGGTTCCCCAAATAAAACCCAAATTTTTTGACTGAGAAAAAACAAAAGAAATCTATTGTGTTCATTTGTAGTGACAGGTCCCGTGGCTACCTGAAAAACATTTCTATTGCCTTTTGTTGCTTGTGAGGTGATGGACCATTTGTCCATTTGTCATTTTCTAAATATCACTTAATTCTAGTGAACTCTGTTCAGGGAATAAGACAGACCTGAAGCATCAACAAGCCACGAAATTCATCTTAGCAAACAAACAGGAGGCTATTTTTCTCAACTGACAGTTAAAAAGCATGCAGACCACCCATACACCACCCTTCAAAATGGAATGTACAGGAAAATAACTAGAATTCTAACACAAATAATTAAAAGTTAAAGTTGGATTTTCCGCTGCATTACATTGTTCTTCTGATGTTTCAGAGCAAATTTTTTGATGAAGAATGCTGGCTAGAAAAACAATCAGATTAGAAAAGTGCAGGTAATACACATCTAGACACAGATTTGCACTCACACATAATCATTGCCATGTTCATTCAAATTAATCAGAAAGTCAACAACTGCCCATCTGAACAAATGTCACTCTTCAGCTATCTCTTTCATACATACAATAGAATGCATGTATTATCCTGACTAAACTGAAGGAGATTACTGAGTAGTAAAATAAAAAAAAAAAACACACATATGTAGTGAATCTAGTTATAGAAAGAAAAATGAAGAGTTAATGATCACTACTGTCTCCGAATAGAAGAAAACAACAAGTAAATGTTAACTGTTAAAAAGGTTACTCAAACCAGGTCAAGTTTCATAATCCAATCAATTTCCTGCAAATTTCTATTGTTCAAGATGCTGGGAATAGTTTCATAGGTCTTTCCATGTCATAAACTTACAGAATTTACTGAAATTTTCCAAAAATTTAGTGGAAGGAATTAACTGGAAGAAATACAGAAGGCAGGGCCTCCCCGGTAGCGCAGTGGTTGAGTGCTGGGTTACGAAGCTGCCCGCAGCCTCTGCAGTGCCAGTTTGATCCCCGGCCACCGGGCGAGGGTCCCACATGGTACACAGACCTCTCCTGCTGCACCCGCTGCTCCCCTCAGCAGTGTACTTCGTCAGTCTGCCTGTTCTGCTCCCCACTCTGGCTCTGGTGAATTCTCTCACCCTCCCGCGCTTCTGACTGTACCCAGTGCTTGTATAAACAAATAAAATAAATCTTTAAAAAAAAAAAAGAAATACAGAAGGCAAAAGAGACAGAGGATGTGGCCCAGGAACAAGGAGAGGCTGGGGAGAAGTCACATCCTTAATGAAGAGGTGAAAGCAGTGAAAGCAGAAGTGCTCCCTCTGTGTTTCCAGTCCTTTTGCCATTACATTTTAAAATATTGAGATATAACTGATATCTATAACAAATTTGCATAGCTTTTCTACCAAGAGTGGCTGGAAGGCAAAGGAAAGAAGACAATTTGGGGTGACTGGGAAGGCTTCATGAAGATCTTGGAAGAGTCTTTGAAGAATGAATCGATTTAAGGGGCAAAGAGAGTGAGTAGGGCACATGGGGGTGGCGAGGACAACATGAGAAGAGTGGAAGCATAAGGTCTGATAGAGGAATATCACTGACTAGCCTAATTTGATTGCAAGGAGATAGTGAAAATAAGACTAGAAAAAGTTGTCTAGTATAGAACGCCCAGCGGCAAAGTATAGACTTCATGCAATGGGTGTGCCAGACATATGTTGTTCTAAGCAAAATGTTATAACACGTTTTTTTTCAGTTGGTGAGATGTATTTCAAGAAATTACCTATGTGGAGATCATTTGTAGGGTAAGGAAAAAGTATCAGGCTTTTCTGCCCTCCCGCCATTAGGATAGATGAGGGAACCCTGTGGTCCTGAATGCATGCCTGATGGTGGGCCCCTGAAGTGGGTACACCTGGGTACATCAAGACTGAGTTTATAAGGGCGGTGTCATGGGGACGCCAGCAGAAGCCAAGAACGAACGGAGCCGAGAGAAGAGAAGCAGAGAGAACACCAGAGAGCCCAGATAGAGTGAGGATTTGCTGGGGGCTGGGAGGACTGCCAGCCTCCAGGCCCCCCAGCACCCCTGCCTGCCATGTGCCTGGTAAATCTAAATAGCAAAAGCCACTGAGGACTCTGACTCCTCTTTTACCTGGTCTGCTGGATCAGAAAACCTGCACTGTGTCATTCCTGCCCTTTACACTAGTTAAGAGGGTATTTAAAATAAGGCAGTTACATGACACTAGTTTGGAACTTAGAGAATGGAAAGGGGAAAATTAACATAAAAGCTATTGTGAAGGGCCTCCCCGGTGGCGCAGCGGTTGAGCGCTGGGTTGCGAAGCTGCCCGCGGCCTCTGAAGCGCCGGTTCGATCCCCGGCCACTGGAGGAGGGTCCCACATGGTGCGCAGACCTCTCCTGCCGCGCCCACTGCTCCCCTCAGCAGTGTACTTTGGTCCCTCTGCCTGTTCTGCTCCCCGCTCTGGCTCCGGTGAATTCTCTCACCCTCCCGCGCTTCTGACTGTGCCCAGTGCATGTATAAACAAAACAAACAAACAAACAAATAAATAAAACATGCCTCTATTAAAAAAAAAAAAGCTATTGTGAAGAAACCAATAGATACACATGACTCTGTGACAGCCTGAACTGGAAGGTATAGGTAGGGGAAAGAAGGAATTAAAAGTGACAACAAGTTAGAGTCAGAGAATCTTCTCAGTGAATTACTAAGAAGTGATATTGTATTCTGAAAGCAAGGGGAACTAAGGGGATGAAGAGCTAGAGGTTTGTGAAAAGTTGTTCTAACCCTTATTCCAAATAGGAAGCCAAGACTAGAAGACAAAGTGGAATTGCTAGGTAAAGATGGACTGGATCAGTGAGTTCATGACTTCCTTGCTAGGGAGTCTTTAATCAGATGATGAGACTGGGAGAACCCAAAATGGGGTGATTCCAGTGCTGGCAGTTAGTACAACAAAACTGATAAAAGGATCAAACCTGTAGGATGCAAAGAGGCTGCAAACAGAGCCAGCATTGTTGATGGACTTCCTTGAGCCGACAGGCCATGTAATTCTAAATGACTGGTGAGAAGTTATTAAAGAAAAGGGAAATCAGAAAAGATACATACCTGTCCATCTGAGTCGAAAGCCAGACAGGCAACTCCATGTGTATGGACATCTTTAAGAATAGACACAGTCTGGACGTTATAGGAATCCCATATGCATATGTATGGCTCCTTCCCGACTTGGCCAGTTGCAACGAGAATTTTATCTGGGTGTAAGGCAAGACTGAAAGAGAAAAAGCCTTCTTTTCACATCTTCCAAATGATCAAAGTTAATGTAAAAGTAATACATACTTTCAATGAGGTGGGGAGGGGAGATTTAGAATTCCCAATTTGCATAATCAGCAAACCATAGGACCCACATGGCTTGCATCAGGAAGTGATGTTGTTTCCCTAAGGAAGATTCCTCTTGGTCTAAAAACACTCTCTCTAAAATCTAAGGGAGCACTGGCTTTATCGAGGGAAGCACATGTATGTTGCCATGAGACTGCACATTCCAATTTGCCTTTTTGTTGTTTCCAAGTAAACCCATTTTATTGGTAAATGACTGACTGCTTTTTGAGATCAACATTTCTCATTTTAATCATCTAACAACACAATCTCAATAGTCTGAACTGTCCCCAAAGTAATCACCTGATAAATCTAAATAGACTCAACTTCGGCAAAGAGAAGCTTAGCACAGTTTAACAATAATTTCATCTTATCTTACTCAATTACCCTGAAAATCAGACACTATTATGATTATAATTCTGTGACAAGAAAATCTTCTGTGTGGTTCGATAATTGCATTATGTCATGATATTTACTTACTGATTTTGAAAATATTACTCAGGTTTTAAGTTTGCTTTTGACTTTAATCTGAAAAAAAAATGCTGTTGCTAGGAGAAAGTGCACTTCTCAGAATTAATTAAACCTGCTTGCAAAAGCTCTGGATACCATCCTCATTAGGATTTCAAAGCATGAAGGGGTTCCAGAGTCAAATGTTGTTTCTGTATTTATTGCTACAGATTATGTATTTTAAATGAAAATTTCTATTTTACAGAAATCATTATGACATCAAGAGAACTACAAATTACTATGCTTGTGGTTTGTGTAGCATTTTCCTTCGGTAGTCTAATCAAAATAAAATTTTGTCAAAAGCAATCTTGAATTTCTAGGGGTCTATGGAATTTAAGAGAAATGTTATTATTCCTAAATGAGAAATCATGCTAATGTTTTAAACTTATTGTGTAAAAAAGAATGCCTTTCTAAAGATAGGAAAATTTTTTAAAAAACACACAGAAAGAACATATTACCATATAAAAAAATCTAGCAGATAACATTACAAAATAAAGGGTCAAGTTCCTATTTTCTTTTTCAATTTCAGCATCTGTTTATACAGTTAAGAGAAGCAGAACTTTTTTCCCTTTTCAATTTTCAGCATGATTTTAATAAGAGAATAAGCTCTGCAAACAGACTCCTGGATTTGTCTGCTAGAGCTCCTGACAACCTGCTTCTATAAACAGATGTCTTTTACCTCAGAATCCTCATCTGTAAAATGGAACTAATATACACAAATTTATGTAACAAATACAGCACATTTAGTACCATAACCTGGCACAGAGCAAGCACTCAAGTTTCTTTATCATCTTAACATGTATAAGAGCCATTACACACATACAACCAACACATGCATGTTTCTGCAGATAACATGTGCATTTCAAAACAAACTACTTACTGGTTCTCCCCTTTCTCCATGTGTGGTCCCCCAATCTGCAGCCACCAACCCCCACAGGCTGTCACGGTGACCCTCATCCCAATGAATTCCTTTTTTACCTTCCCAAGAGACTTAGTGTCATTCTTTGTCCCTCTCCTTACCAGGGGCCTTCCAGGGAGGGCCCTTACAACCTGGTGCAGAAGCAGTGCAGGAGTTCCCAGAGTCCTACTCTGCAGGTCCTCAAACCAGACGCTGCCCCCAAAGCTGAAGTCTGCTCTGCCAGAGCCTGGATGTTTATCTCATTAAGCAAACAGGTTGCAGCTGGCGCCCATGTCTGGCCTGCCCTCTATTCTGCCTAAAAATTTAGGCTGTGCATGGAGGGAGGGAGCGCAGGTCCAGATTGTGGGCAGAGAGGATGAGCTGGCAAGCACTGGGCACTGGAGTGACTCAGAGCACGATGGACTCAGGCCCTACATCTAACACCACCACCACTCCTCCAAAATCAAGCTCGAACTCAGGATCTTGGGAGCTCTACCCGGCAGCAGAGGATTCTGGAAAGGGAAACACCTGGGTGCCCTGGTGCCAGAGGCCCAATGTTCCGGGCTCATCAATAAGGAGTCTGGCTCACAACACGTGGGAAGAAAACCCTAATCCTCCTCAAGTCCTGATCCAACCCCCACCCCCAATGAAGAGTCACAGTGAGTGCAAGGGTTTTGCCCCAGGGGCCTGGACAGGTGTTGAGAATCCAGATCTGCTGTAAAGGTTGTGCAGGGATAAGGCTGCCTGAGGTCAGCACCGGGGAGTAAACTGCACTGGTCCAATACCTTCCAGGAGGACAAAGCCCTGGGGGCAGTGACCCAGGCATCTGTCATACTCTTTGGAACCCGAATCCTGTACCTGCCAAGGCCCAAGGCTACAGCAATCAGAAATTTGCTCCAGACCAGTCATTCCCTTCATCTTCACACAAGCCCCTCCATCAGGAAGTAATCTCATTTGTGAGCACTACCTGGGCTGCAGCAGGCAGGGGAAGCCTGGTCTTAGTTGGGGGAATGTGGCTTCCCAGAAAGACAAACAAGGCACAGGTGCCCACGTGGCTTTGGCTGCCCAGCAGGGAGGAGTGCCTGTCCAGAGGGCAGGGCAGGGAGAAGATGGGATGCACTATATACTTGAAGATGAACTATATACTTATTTCGATTCATTAGTCAATTGCATTTATATGAACGAATCTATAAAGGAAGATATAGTTGGTATTTGTTATTATTTTATTTTATTTTATAGACTTGGAATTTTTTGAAATATAGTTTTTTATAGATTTTTTTGACAAATTGAACAAGATGGATTTATTTTTTTTGTGATATCCAAAGATTAATATTTAAAAAAAATTTTTAGACAATATTTGCTTCCCCCCACCCTCTCAGGTTGAGTCCCCCTAGAATTTCCTTCCCCAAGGTACCCATGCACCATCACCACAGTCCCCTGTGCTCTTCCCTCCCTCCCTCTAATCCCTCTCCCTCCTCCTCCCTTGCAGTATATTTCTGATTTGTAATTGTCTGTTTTTGCTTTGTTGTGTTTTGTACTGTTATTATTTTTTTTTACACTGTTTTCCATTTTTAGTAGACTGAGGAACCTCCAGACAGCTTTCCATAGTGGTTGAACCAGTTTGCACTCCCACCAGCAATGTAGGAGAGTTCCTTTTTCACTACATCCTCGCCAGCATTTGTTGCTGCTTGTTTTGTTTGATATGTGCCATTCTTATTGGTGTAAGGTGGTATCTCAGTGTGGTTTTGATTTGCATTTCCCTGATTATAAGGGATGTTGAACATTTTTTGATATGCCTGTTGGCCATTTGCATTTCTTCTTTGGAGAAATGTCTTTTAAGTTCTTCTGCCCATTTCTTGACTGGATTGTTTATTTTGTTTTTGTTGAGCCGGGTGAGTTCTTTGTATATCTTTGTGATCAGTCCCTTATCAGGTGGATGGAGTGCAAAGATTTCTTTCACAATCAGTGGGGTGTCTGTCTGTTTTGGTTAATGTCTCTTTTGCTGTACAGAAGCTTTTCAGTTTGATGTAATCCCAGGTGTATATCTTTGCCTTCACTATCACTACTTTGGGTGATGAATCTTTAAAGATGTTTCTAAGATGTATGTCTTATAGTGTTTTACCTATATTTTCTTCTATGTATTTTATGGTTTCAGGTCTTATGTCCAGTTCTTTTTAGATATATTTATTTTTTATTTTTTAAATTTTATTTTTTTCCATTGGTGCTGTGTTTTATTTTTTTATGTTATATAAATTTTACTATAAATCAGAGACATTCTGCAGGGGAGAGGGAGAGAGAGACCAAAGTGAGGGTGGGAAGAGCACAAGGGACTATGGTGATGTTGCACGGGTAAATTGGTGGTGGGAATTCTATGAGGACTACACCTCACCTGAGAAAAGAAAGCAACCATTGTATGAAAAAAGACTTTAAAACCTTTTAAGGTTGTAGAGTACTTTAGCATTCAGAGTTGGTGAGAAAAGACCAGTAAGTTATGAAAAGATGTGCCCAACCTCAATTTTGCCAGGATATCTCTGGGTATTCGATGGTATCTAGATATCCCAGAAAATGTAAGTAATTTATGTAATGCCATATTTGTGTCATTACCTAAGCGAATGGAAGAAGTGTGAAAACCTTTTGACAAACTGGTATGTTTTAGTCCATTCATTCATTCAACAATCCCTTATTTAAGGACCAATGAAATTTTAGGCACAGCACCTTAGATAGATAAACAGAAAATACACTACCCCTCTTTCAAGAAGCCTCCCTTAAAAGGAAGGGCAGATATGTAAACAAGTAATAACAATTTGGAGGATGGAGTTGATGGAAGCTTAGAACAGAAAATTGAGGTTGAAAGTTCCACAAGGCCAGCAACCAGATGTGGGAACAGAAACTATTTATGAATCGTTAAACCATGGAAAAGATGGAAAGTGGGTTATGGAGAAATGTCAGTCGTTATAGAGAAGATCACCAGACCTCACAGGTTAACCCAACCAGATCCTACAAGTGATAGATTCCACAACAGATAAAACTCCATGAGGGAATAAATTCCCCTCAAAGATCAGTATGTAAGAACAACCCTTGCTCTGGCAAAATGCAGCTCTTTGCCTTCCTGTGTCTTTGCAGGTGTCTCTGTTTCCTAATAAACCTACCCCTTTAAAAAAGCAGCTTCTTGCCCTTACAGAACTCTTGTCTGCCTCTATGCATTCTCCCCTTTCTCCTTTCCTTTCTTTACAAACTTGCTCTGTGCTGCTGAACACGGGACTCTGCTGAAATCATTTATCAGAGAGACTCAAGAATTTCACTCAACGAACCCCAGCAGAGTGACCATCAGCTGCAAAGGACTTTAGGAAGAGTACGAGTTCATATGAGAGACAAGGCGCCAAGGGCATCCATCTGAAAAGACAATGTCAACAGTTAAAGTCTTACAGAGACAGCAGAAGTGAGCCAGTCAGGCAGACCTTGCAGCCTTGAAGGTCTTACTAAGTAGGGCT